CGATGCGTGGCATCTGGTTAGGATGTACGGATAGGCATAGGGGTAGGGTTTAGGCTGGTTGGTTAACATTAAAAAGAGTTCAAATTACTTTACAAGGCACACGCTATCTCTTTCGGGTAGGATATTTGGTACCCCGTCGAATAAATAGTCGCGCTACACGTCTAGGCAAGTGTCACACCTGGATTATTTTGGCCAGTTGTGTTCAAGAACTCTCAAGCAACGTAAACTGCGATCGGACGCAGCAAGACACTTAAAGGCAAGGCGCAAGATCGCGAGACGGCTCAAGTGGTCAGAAGGCTCGCTGATCAAGTAACCACATAGTAGACAAGGCGATCTCGTTGAGATCAGGGTAACTCAAATCATTACCCGCAAGTACTCCTTGATCGCGTGAAGATTTCCGCACGATCACAACCCCATCCCCGACGCGGTCAAGTTTTACTTAGACACGAGTCCACCTGGAAGAGTGCGACCCGCCCCACCGATGGGTACACAAGGTGAGGAAGGCAACACACACGGAATCGGAGTACCCCCTCCGTTAGTCGGTCGTCCGAGCGCCAGTGGAGAGTTGGGATCGACTCATAAAATGAGCGATCGCCACTACACCACACATATCACACATGTGAATGTGAGATTAGTTTTGCGACTGACGTTATTCGGCTCCAGAGCAATGTTGTTTACCCTTTATCATGAAGTTTTAGGTGTGCGCTAAAGTCGATCTCTTAAAATTGCTTATGTGGGGTGCGTTATTCCACCTTCCCATACTTGAATCAAGGACATGGTAGTCGATCCGTGTGTTGCTATATGAACTTAAGCTCAGCTAATACATCTATCCATGGGATGTTTGAAGCTCTACGTTATGGACGTGGGAGATGTCAATCTCGATTTGTGTTGGGGTCGATGTCTGATCACTGTGAGGAAATCTTCACACACGAATATGGCACTCTTATATCGCTATCTCACTTGATCCAGTCTTAAATCCCTAAATACAATCTCAAACCCACTTGAACCATCCCTCAACATTGATATCCAGTCCTTTCCTTCTATGCTAAGTCAATCGCATAGGGGTCTCGAGAGTACTCGCGCAATCTGGGTCTGATTTTTCAGGACTGTCCTCGCAATGCTGTCCGAAAATCCAAGATCATTATTTTGTGCCTTCGTACACGTGTGCCTGCGGTCGTCGGGAAGTCAAAAGTGTTTTGCTCGAAAGTAGGTAACGCGCCTTAGTAGAAGACGTAGAAGCTAAGTCTGTTGATCGGCTATCCAAATAAGTAGTCAAACTACAATAAGACCTGTACCGAAACGTAGTGCATTCCCCAATCCAATATCACTTTAAATCTAGATTATTCATTGATCACAAGTCGAAAATTACAGCCTGTATCGAAAAGCTACGTTGACGATCGCAATATTATCCTCTCCAAATCGAAATACACCATATCTCAAATATTGCGATTATACCTATAACTCTCGTGTATTTTACACTCAGACTATGTGGAGAATGTCTAATTGTCGAGCCGAACATGTACAAATCAAATCAGTAGCATCAATACCGACACCCTGCACCAGCTATTTGATCTGAGCTTATAGGGATCGTCTCATCGTACTTACTAACCTACCTTGCCAACTTCCATCTTCAGTCACCATTACACATCATTTCATGTGTCCACATTCCGATCACAAATTTCATTTTGGTGCATTGGTGGGTGCCTGACCTTATACTCTGGAGCTGCTCCTGTTCGTTTCGCATTTCCATCTCAGATGTGTTCCATAGACAAATCGTCCGGTCCTAGATTCACCTTGACAATTAACTCGGTCCCCAAATCAATCACCTGGTCCCAGATTCTGTATATATTCATGTTGGCATAGTAGAGTACTGTGGACCGATCTAGGCCGGGTACCAACAGTATCCGTTTCGTACCTGTATCATACAGTCTCATATTGATAATGTTGTACTTGGACATCGTAAATCTGAGAGAGATCGGTCGCGCTTTCCCGTATTTACTGTCACAAATCTGGCCATTTTCCGACTGGGACAGGGATCGATATCATCATTTTTAGAGTGACGACGCCACAGAGGTGCTTTGCACAGGGGGAGGATATCGCATCCATCCGTCTAAGAAATCTGCTCTCATGCAGAGGTGAACAAAAGAAAGGATTATCCTTGCGTATTTGTCCTCCTTTGAGAGAGTGAAAAGTGGACCGCGCACACTGTACACGATGTTCCGACAGCGATTTGTACCACATCTTAAATAATGACATGGGAAGACTACATTCATCTCGACATGCCCATCGATGGCAGATGCCGTGGATCACATCTTAACCCTTATGCTGTCTGTGCATCTCGGGCCATACGTCAAGCATCCATTGAACAGCCGCCCAATTACAGGGTGGACATATGTAACATTGTTTTGTAGGAAAAGTAACATGACACCATAGATTGACCACAAAAGAAGTCCAAATAGAAAAGTCGAAGCATCACCCAGTTATTTGAACATCTAAGCTCGACGAGCAGGACCGTTTCACACACGTATAATTCAATCCAATGATAGAATCTAACTGATATGTTAGATTGGGACTACATATTTGTTTGTTATAAGTGAAAAGTCAACAAGTACAAGAAATTTACGATGAACGCGTCGTGGATCGCGACTCTCCACAAATTATGCTGTAATACTTCGCCGTCTTCTGCTAAAAATGTCTACATAAAAATAAGCTCGAATCGACTTTTTTACATTTTCGATTCCTTTCTATCTACGCAACATTTTTATGATCTGTCTACCATGCTTAGTTGAAGTTACACTTATCGTCTTGTGGTGTCGATAATTATCAGCAGGAATTACTTCAAGTAACAATCCTCGGAATAGCGAGTCGGCGAGCGTGGGTCGGCGAACCTTGTTCAGCGATCCTTGGTCAGTAAATTCTAGATTGGAGAGGCTCAATACAGCAAAGTCTAGGTCGGCGAATTTTGAGGTTGGTCGGCGCGTGTAACCACCTGAGAGTGATAGGAGATCCAACATACGCTTTTAGGTGTATGTACATGACGAATGATAGAAAGACACGTAGCCACACAAATGGCTCCACGATAAAGCAAAAAGTACTAAAGAATAGAGTGAGAAATTACTGATTCCAAGACACATGTACACTTTTCCGGCAAGTATCTGCGTGAGATTATTCATTCCTGTCTTCGAACTTCGAGATCTATAGTTTGTAAAAGGTTTCAAGTGATAGTGTCGAGAGTTCAAGCTTGACCGGAATAGGCGTCAATCTCTACCAACAAAGAAAGATCTTTGCCAACGATGAGGTGGTAATCCTCCGTTAAATGGGCAGTTTTGACACTCGTCGAGAGTCGAGACGTTGAGCCTCAGTAGAAGTCTCCTTCTTTAAGACCTATCTCAAGAGAAAGCTGGTGGGCTGATCCAAGGAAACCTAATCCTTCCGGTTGGGTGTACACTACACCCGGCGACATTTAAATGCGCGTAAGCGTCGGTGTCCACCCGTTGGTGTGAGGTCCCAGGGTGTGGTGTTTAGAAGCTGTTGACATCAGGCAGTACTATGGACGAAGTGGTTGTGACAAATTAGCTAGGCAAAATCTACAACTGAACCTGAAAAGGCAAACTAAGAACGGTTTTTGCCCTGATTCACCATCCTGTTTTGCCGACCTAACTCATATATTCTTGTGTTTGTGTATCAAGTCTGCATTAATATAGAGCTGACCAAAACTATACCCACGACCACGTACCGATTTAGTTTATTGGTGCTACAGTCGAAACCTCTACAGGTTATGGCTCTTGAATCCGATGGTCAAACCTATAGAACAGCCCGAGTTGAGTAACGGAAGAGTATGCGCTTACCAGGACTTGGACCATTTTGTATTATATTGGTTCAACTCGTTTTGTGTGGCTGCACGACGCTCTCCTAATTGTTCTGTGCGTAGCTGATAGAACTTATAAGACTGTTCCAGCATCCTCGTCGATTTGTAAGCTTTCATCAGTTTTCAGTTTCCATGGTAATGTTCTTCTAGGTAATTTTGTCGATCTAATATTCGCCGACCCAATGTTCGCCGGGCATAAATTTACGGGCTCTAGTATCGTGTACTTTACTCGATGAAATGCCGTCAACACACGGATAACGCGGAGTTCCATAGCGTGAAAATCTGGAGCGACTGTAACCGTAGCTTGGGGACCCGTATCAAGGAGTCCTGTAATAGGGTTTTTGCCAGAGCAAAGTCTTGAGGAGTGACGTCCTTTGTTAATTTTTAGGTTAAAAACATCACATCACCACAATGCGAACGGCTACCCCGACTGGGAAGTAGAAGCATGACTCCATCTTGCTTGGTAGTGTTCTTTACTAACATATCCATCGAAGATCCGTCAAGCACCTCAATGAAGCTCACTTATGCACGCACATAAAACTAGTGGACAAAATATTTGAATATGCAGTCCAGAGATCGAGAGATTTCTCAGACAATACCATTCATAAAGTAGCATAAAACGCTGTTGTTGCTACGCAGCGCTTGATGCGACGGCGAGCGTCACTCAAACGCTCCACAATTTGTTCATACACCCGTCATCGTCATATGTACCACGAGACAATATAGTAAACAACTGCGAAATCAACTTAAGGTGAATGCCATACGCGCACAAGCTCAGTGTTGGATTTGGGGTTGACGTAGTGTCGTTTCTAATTTGTTGGTGCGATCCCAGATTAACAAAGCAGTATCTCAGAACATATTTTGTGAATCACCATTTGGATCAACAAGAAATCGTCTCAAATCTGATTCGACTTTAGACAAAAAGAAGCCTCAGCGACTTGTCCGACCAAGATGTTGTCGTGCATTGAAAAGTCGGCGTAACAACTGTACCATTTCGTTGTTGTTCAATCAGGGAGATCAACAGAACCAGTCTTCTGACACTTGGACAGCATCTCTCTTCTGTCCATCGCACGATACGCTTCTGATTGGCTAAAACAGCACCCTCACTCTCGCGCAACGTCACATCTTGCCCATGAGCAGCTCCGCCGGTGCGGGCGGCGCGTCGCCCACGAGCGCGTCGGCCGAGGGCGACGTGGACCTCATGCGCACGATCCTGGGCGAGCACGTGCCTCAGAGCGTCATCCTCACGTGTCTCACTGCCTGCGCTTTCGACGTGAGCGCCGCTCTGAACTGGTACTTTGCCGAACTTGCGGCGTCTTCTCCTGCTGGTTTCGAGCCTGAAGAAGCAGCAGCACTGGAGACAGCTACTAGACGCTCTCCCGTCTACACTATCCAATCCGGTCTGAGTCTGACGCTCCATGCCCGCGCGGTAGAAGGGATGGTGAGCAAGTCTGAAGCCTATTACGCCACACTAACAAAGGGAGATCCAGCCTACGATACACTTACACCCAGTAATGAAAAGTTTCTGACTATTCGGCTACGAAAAAGAGGATGGAGAACCTGCACAGTTCATGGCATGCCGTCACCTGCTACACAGAGACCGGTGTTTGCTAATGGAGACGTCGTAACGCTCGAGTGTAATGGCCTGTGGCTCAAGACGAACTCGATCAATAAGACGCTGCAGTGGAAAGCTCCGTCTGAAGACGATCGGAACAAGTTTGTGATCCGTGGACTTCCACTTGGCAAGAACTTGGCACCTGGCGATTATTTCTTCCTTACGAGCTACAAGTGGAAGGACAAGGAGATCGTGTGCAAGGACGAGAGGCCGGTTGGCACTCCCAGCTACAATACAAACGTCCATCGATGCTTCCTCGGGCTCGATCGCATTAAAACGTACTGACTGCTGACTACTGTCATCACCTTTTTCTTGCCTTTAATATGACTGTTTATGATACTGACGTGCTATTCTTTTTGCTTTTGTTGCTGTGTAGGGCAAACCAACGCCTGTATCTGTATGCAAAGCTCACGCAGAATGCAGTGAAGAGTTTGCCGAGACCTGACGACCCAGCCGAAGCCAGCCACCTGACTATTAGTGTCACGGGTACACTAAGATCCACGGGAAGTTTCGCCTCGCAAGACCAGTCGCATTCGGTTCGTAATGCTTTTATCTGGTGACTTGGTAATTGTCTAACGAGCTTTTCCATGACTTGCATGATGCTGTAGCTGCGGACGAACTCGATATCAGACGAAGTTCAATTCTCAAACGCTAAGATTGAGCAAATGGCAAATGTAATTGGCACAAATGTGACTCGTGACCACCTGGCCAACTTCCTTGATGGTGCTGGCGGCGATGTGCAGGTCGCACTGGAGCACTATTTCATGAGTTTGTCGACTGCTGAGAGTGGCATGGAGGCTACGCGAAGTACGTCGGCAACCGATGCCCCTTCAGTAACACAGGCCCACGTTGTGGAGTCAGCAGCAGCTCGTGAGGAGGCACAAGCTCGTGCACAGGCTCAAGGACAAGTGAACCACGACCGCCGCCCTCTGAGCCAACTCATTTTAGGGATCCCACCGTTTCCTGAGCCGACAACATTACCAAGCACGAAACCGTTGCCAATAGTACGTTCGCCTGTGTCAACAAAGGCCAAGTATGTGGCTGCTGGGACCCTTCCTCTCCCGCCTTCGGTTGATGCTGCGAGTACTTTTGTTGGAGAGCCGTCACCTGGCATGCCACCTCCAGTGCCATCTGTGTGCCCATCGTCTATTCCACCTCGTATCGATTCCGTTATAGCTCACGGGAGAATGACCACACCTTCGGTGTTACAACATACTGCTGGCGTGGCTTCCGTGCCTCGAATAATCGAGGACGAGGTATTTGTGGAAACAACTAACTACTCGAAAAATCACGAGCGAATGGAACGAGTGATGACCCCGGTGGAGCAGCAAGGCCGTGGGTCTGTGATAAAGTCGGGGGTAGAAAGCGAACGAACCGAGGCACTTACGATTCAGGATTTTGAAATGCTGAGTGTGCTGGGCAAAGGCAGTTTTGGTGCTGTAATGCTTGTCCGTTTTAAGAAGGACGGCCGTGTGTTTGCTCTCAAGATAATCAAGAAAAATAACATGGACCAAGCCGATGTTCAAAATGCTATCGAAGAACGGCAGATTTTGCAGCGTATTCATCACCCGTACATTTGTGGATTGGTTTTCGCCTTCCAGACCAACGAGCGGCTGTACTTGGGAATGAAATACTATGCAGCTGGAGACCTCTTCTACCACCTGAACATGAAGGGCCACTTGGGCACAAAAAACGCGAAGCTGTACGGCGCAGAACTTGTGCTGGCAATCTCGTACCTCCACGAATTAAACATACTGTATCGTGACCTCAAGCCTTCGAACGTCATGATCGATTCCGAGGGCCACATCGGGGTGGTCGACTTTGGTCTGTCCAAGCAGCACATATGTGGCAGCAATTATGGTGTCAAGACGCTGTCGGGCACGGCTGAGTATGTGGCACCAGAAGCGCTTGCACAATCTGCTGACGGCTCTCGCGACTATGGCAAGGCATACGACTGGTGGAGTTTGGGTGTCGTTATCGTACGTACTCGCGTTTGTCACACGTATACTTACCACAACCCGTTGCTTGTATCTAACATTGTGCCCATATAATCGCAGTACGAAATGCTGGTTGGTGAGTCACCTTTCTACGATGAGAACGAGCACACGATGCTCAGCCAGATTGTACATTCGGACGTGGTGTTCCCGCCTGATTTTCCACGCGATGCGTACGACTTGGTTACAGGGTTGTTGTGCAAGGATCCGAAGAAGCGGCTCGGCGCGGAGTCAATGGGCGGCGTGGAGGCCATAAAGCGGTGTCAGTTTTTTAGCCAGATTGACTGGGACAAGTTGTTGCGGCGAGAAGTCAAGGCTCATTGGACTCCAAAGCTAAGCAGCGAGACAGATACGCGATACGTGGATCCAGAGTTTATCGAGGAGGGTCCGCCTTCAGCAGCGTACGACCCAAGCGCTGGTTCGGAAAACTCGTCGAGCAAGCGTTTCAGCCAATTCTCATTCGATTACAATCTCGGGCGATAATGATGGAGCATGCGCAAGTCATTCGTTACGCGGTTACTATCCCGTAAGACCCGTCCAGATTTTACGCTCCATGATGATGCGCCACGGAATGTGCGCTTGCGCGAGATGATCAAATACCAGAGACCGTAAGCATGAGGGTACCGATGTCTGACAATCTGAGATGATCATCAGCTACCCACATGCATCCCGGTAGACTATGCTACTGCCTGAACAAGCCGTGAGAGACAGAGAACTGCCGTATCTACAATCAGAAGCCAGCACTACGTAGTGCAAGTCTCGAACTACACGCACGTCCAAAGAAAGCAACCTGGAAGCTGTAGCAAGAGCAAAGCTAGTGCATTCAGTATCCTGTACCGCGACTTGAACACAATCACGAGCTCAGTATCCGTCGGAATGCCGCATTGTACCTACTTTTGTAGACTTTAGCCCAACATTTTGATGTCTTTACGGGTTTTGGCGCTTTTTCTTCTTTTGGATGAGTCTGTTTCGACAAGATTTCCATGAATTACACATATAGCCCCAGTCTCCGAAGCCACCCGTTTGTCGCTTCAGCTCTCTCTCACTTCGTCTTTAGCTTCTGTCCGTTCGAAGATCATAGACACTGTGCGTGTTGATATTGCCCATTAGACCGTCACTTCCCGATGACGAAACCCGTCGAGGGCGCAGCTTCTGTGCCCTCTGTCAGTCGTTCCAGCACTGTGATCCCCACGGTGTCCACTTTTGTCGTTGGAGTGCGCCTCAGGTGCACGCTGATAGTACCAATCTTCTCTCTGAGGGAAGGGCTTGCTTGCTTGCATATATTTCATCGACTCGATGCACTGTCTCTCCTTCGCAGGAGTTGTGGTCCTCACGGAGCTCTGTCTCCTGTCTGTATGAGTGCTACCCGTCGGCTGTTGGTTCTCAACGGTCTTTTTCGGCGGGTCTCCCACTGCAGAGTGCTCGCGAGTCAAGAGAGATAAAGCTCAGTATCATAGTACCCGATGCGGCGCTTCTCCGCCCTCGTGTCTCCAATAGCTGGCACATGCATAATTTGCACAACAGTAACATACACAAATTACAATGCAGCAGGCGCTCCGTAGAATGGTCACCACTGAGCTACTTGCTCGTGGCCGTCCGTAGTCTCGAGTGACCTATGGTACACGCAAACGGCATTTAGTTGAGCATACGAGGTACGTCATATGCTCAACTGACTGCCGCTGCGTGTCCTTCACAAGTCCCTTACGAACCCAAAGGCGAACATGCAGCCGTGGCTGTCGAAGCTACCTTGGCTGCTGAGAGTGTGGTCTCTGCTTCCTGCGGGAGAATGTGTGCGAGCGCGTGAACACTATCGGGTGCAGGACTTGTGCGTGCCTTGAGTGAAGGGCGCGTCACTGACGCAATTGGCCAAGCAATGCATCATTGCGCAGGACTTGTACTTTTTGTCTGTAAGTACATCGAGATGAACTTCGACACCAGTTACTGCTCAAAAACTTCACGATTCTAGTTGCTGCAAGGAAATCTGCAGGCCTAGAAGTCGAATCCGACCGGCCAGTGCTGACAGCTAAGCGGTCGCGTTGTGAAAGATTCGACTATTTGCTTGACAAATGTTTGACTATTTGCTCTACACTTGTCGGTGTTGGAGAAGTTTTCGTATGCCACCACTGTCTTCAGCTCAGTAACAAGTCAATGTGCGCGACTTTATCCTCGTCATATTCAGTCGCTGTGTTGGGGTTTGAAAACGTCTACGAAAGGCATCGCGAAAACTGGTTCGTCTTCAAAGCTAAGAGACATGCAAGCACGGGCATGCCTAAGCACCACCGAGATTACACAAGTCGTGACTGGTAGCGGATAGTCTTCTCAGCCCTCGTTACGACTTGGTCGCAGGTACGAGCTATTCGTAGTAACTGCCTTGTGGCCGATACTACAATAGCTCAGAGCTCTGACGTTCCTAGCTGCGCCGGCTCGTGTGATACCATAATGTGACAATAAAGGCGATGAATACTCCTGGCGTATTCCAGACGAGGTGGTGCAGTTAGCCTGAAGAGAAGCTGTGTCGAGCAACGTCTAGGTCGGACATGAAGTACGTCATATGACGTGCGTAAGTTTAGGACTTCGTGGCTTTGAGGTAGATAGGTCAGTAGAACAAGTGCTGGGTAGTATGTATATCCAAAATCGAGTCATGCGTTTCGTTGAGGTGACTCTGTATCGTCAAAGCAAGTGCGACCAAAAGTCGACGTCCACTGCAACCAATTGGTCGGATGTCACGCGTCGTGGGTAATGTATGGTCCCCGGTTGATAGATATGCTATGCTGATCAGCAACAAGGCCCAAGGGCTCTTTTGTTCACGTTGTCCTGTAAGCGTCGGCATCTTGACGCGTTTATGGTACAGTCCCATCGTCGCTCCTGTAAAACTCGACCACTTCTCCAGCCGAACCAGGAACATCAGCATTGCACTTTCGTGTGCAAACCGGCGGAAAAGACGTTGAAGTAGACATTGACTTTATCGCGAAGTGTCATAAGGGGGTCAATCCGCCAGTGTCTCCGATATGCCAGCAAGAAAGTTGCTCTGCTATGTTCAGTGAAGTCGTAAAGCGATCGCAATCTCATCTCCAGCCTGATCATAATTCTTTGTCGAACGGAAGAAGAATGAGGCAAAACTCAGTCTCAAAGCGGCAGTTGTAAATCCAGCTTTCAAATGCGGCGCGTCCATGCTGCGCAGCCAACAACGTCACAGCGACTCTCAAGATGACAACAAGCTGACGGGTGCGTTGTACTGCAGGCAGACGCGCGTCCAATCAGATGAAAATGACCACGATGGATCTGCACTGGGACATGCAGATTGCATAGTGGCATAAGCATGAACCTCATGTCGTTGCCTTCCACCAAAGTTGGCACAGAAATCGACAGCCGATGTACCGATACAGTGAGCAGAACGATGATGGCTAGGACGTCAACGCTTTCATGGTCGCCTCGAGTCCAAATCCAGACCTTCCCTGTGCACCCTGAAAGTAACAACCCGCTTGACAATCGCGCACTGAGCCTCCAGAGAGTAGCGCTACGTGTCTATATTCAGTGGCGAGTCAACCGACGTGCTTGACGAACCGCCGGCTCATGACTCCTTAGTAATGTCTCGATGCTCGTTTGAGTCGCAGATACAAACTCCACGTCTTCAACCAATTAGCAGCTCGCAACTTGATGTCTGCTCACTTCTCTGGTGCTCTTCGTCGCACGATTGCACTTATGCATCTTACTCAGTTGGTGGGCTTTCATAGGGCATTGCCGCTACAAACTAAACGGATCAATGATACCCATTCTTAGACTTGTCATGCCATTTTTGGTCTCTTCATTGCAACCACCCACCGATGTGTGCAATCTGTGCGTGTGCTGCATCAACCTGAAACAACCCCATGCAGCTTTGCTGCCCTGACACGAGACAAAAATAGCGTCTTCGACAGCTTGGGTCCAGTTGCTGGGTACGTGAGTCAACAAATAGTCGTTCCGAGACCAATGGTCCGATCATGTGGTACACTCAGACCAAGTCATAGCCCTGCGGTATTCGCTGGCAACATCGACTTTCTCTACCCGAGTGGCTTACCGACGGCAGAAATAGATGCTCGAGCCTTGGCTTCTGTGGGCTGGCCGCCGTCGTCGAAAAACCCGTAGCCTTTGAATGTCGTCTCCTTCTTAGCGGCAGTGCTGTGTGGAAAGCGGATCTCCTCTTCATGCATTAGAAGGTCCTGCACACGCAGTAAGAACGACTCCAGGTTCTTGAGATAGCGCTCGGTCTGGCGATGTCGCGATGATGCGCAGAACTGAATGCCCTCGTCCTTGATAATGTAGCCGATGCCAAATCCGTCATGCACCACGGGACCAAAGCCGAACAGGCGCAGACTTGGGTTGCCGCAGTTGCTTGTTGACAGCACCGAGTGATTTAGCTTGCGCCATGCATCGTCTGCAAACAGCGCTGGTGGTGTCTTCGTACTGTCAGCAGCCTTCTCGCGTTGCCACAGGCACTCGAGAGCGTAGAGGTGACGCTCGGGGCCCTTGCCAGCTGCACAGTTTCGCACATTGCTGACGTGTGTGGAGATTGCCTTGCGCAGCGATTCGATCTTTTCGAGCGGAGTCTTGTCCGAGAAAAACACTTTCACAAACTTGAGGGCGTCAACTGTCATAGCTCGTGCCGCCTCTGTACGTCCATGTAAAAAGCGTTTGGTGAGCACGGGCTCGTAGATACAAGGCGCATTCCCGTATTGGAAGTAGTAAGCTGCGACGAAGGCCATTTGCACAAAAGCATCCGGGCTCATGTTGTGCTGGGTGATGAACAGCTTGCCGTACGCCGTGAACTCGAGCACCTTGACCTCATTTTGCAGCATCAGGTCGGTCAGCTGCGCCTCGGCAAACTTGATGCCCTCTTGCAACTCTCGGTCCAGCACCCATTCGAGCTTGCGCGGCTGCACGCGTGGGCGATCAGGCACATCAACCGAACATAGTTGTGGTGCACGGTAGGACGCCTCTAAGAAGGCATAGTTGCCAGCACGAATCGTCTGCGCAAAGCGGATGATCGTGTCGGTGAACACGTCCGACACAAACCGGAGGACCGTGTGGCCGTCCACAAACGCGTGCTCAAAGTTGCACCCGGCCACACCGTTCTCGCACACGATCAACTGCAATTTATCGTACCAGCGATTCATACACGTGCCTGTTTGGACACCATCCTTTGTGATGTTATAGGTGCCATGCAGTACTGTAGCAGCAGAGGCCGCAGCATCGAGAGGTGCTGTTGTATCCAGACACACGAGAAAAAGAGCCCGGTCAATGACGGCCAGCGTGTCCTTGTTCTTGCGCTGCAACTTGGCTCGCAGACACGCCCACGTCGAGCGACGCTCTGTTGTAAGCACGCCCACAGCAGTAGACGCAGCTGTGACATCATCAGCCTTGAGTGCGTCATCGTGGATAGCTTTCAGGTTGGCCAATAGCTCTCTCTCTGTAATTGCCGTGACCCCATCTTTCCAAATGACGTCAAACCAATAAAACTGGTTACAACAGACCACGACAATGTGCTTCGACAGCTCGTCCACCATGACGTCGTCCACACCATCCGACGGGACGCGTGCACAGCCAAAGAGGCGCTTGTATTGGTGCATGCAGAGAGTCATGTTGCCTCGCCACATGTCCGGCTCAAGCGTACCCCTCCGCAGCGCGTAGACGAATTTCAGAGCGCCCAGAATGAGCGATGCTGCCCGTGACAGCTGATTGTTGCGCGAAGGTGTCGGATCGTCCTCCAGCACGAAGAATGGGTTCACATTGAGCACGACGGAGCTGCGGTGGTTGAGGTAGGCCTCGTACCAAAAGTCCTCAATGAACGACACTTTGTCCTTCTCATAGTCCAGCAGCTGCTGCTGCAGACGCGGTCCGTCACTCGCCAGGAACGTCTCGATGCTGCGCGCAGTCAGCTGCTGCTCCTCTGGCGTCTGCAGCGCTGCGACGGACGCCAAGAAGCGCCCGCACGTCTCCTCCAGCGTAGGGATGGGAAGCTTGGGGAGGTCCGTCTGGTGGCGGAACGTCGTGGACTCGCTGTCAGCGAGTGGCCGCCAAGTTGCGGCATCGCATCCGTTCGAACTCGCGTCCTTCGTAGCGGTGGACTCCATGAGGACGGTCGCTGCTCTGAGGAAGCTGAAGTAGCACGAGCGGGTGGATTGATGTTGCTGATAAAATGGGAGATATCTTGTTGCTGATAAAATGGGAGATACCTCGTTGCGAACTACAGCAACTGAGAGAGAACAGAAGAAGTTCGCACTGCACACGACTGGGGTTGTGCTATCAAAGCGCTTTGTAAAAGTAGTGTCTTTTTCGATGACGATGTTAAAAAGCACAAAGCTGCGTTGTATATCTTGCGACCACGTATACACGTATACGACCAGACCCCACCGATCCGATGGGTACAACTATCGGATACCGTCCACTCGACTTTTGCAAAGCGACGCATACGACAGAGAGCACATGTTATTAGGCTCACGCATTGCCCTACTCCAATAATGAGCTGCTTGCCACCTTGTGGTCCTTGGAACATTACGTGAAGGCAACCATTGTCGAGATTTCTTTGAGCGCCATAGCACTCACTCCTTACTAAATGCTACTTGTCCTTCGACTGCAAAAAATGGTTCGCTTTTCAACGGTTATACGCTGTAATAAAGGAGCGTGATGATGATTTTTTTGCAAGCAGTCAAGAGCTCTGCAGTTGACATTCCGATCGTCTGGGGCAATACTCGAAGCTAGAACGGAAGCGCGTACATTCCGCTCTTTATCACATCCCCCTACCACCTACTTTCCAGGACGATGAGCGGCTCTAGGTCCAGCATTCCGTGCATTCTTCTTCGCTGCCTTCGTTTTCTCGCGCTCAAGTTGATCTGCACGTTTCTTGAAAATGCCCGAGAGCTTAGGCATCACAGGTGGTGCATCCACGCGCTCGCCGAAACGTACAGGCGCCACGTTCTCAAAGTAGTCCTTTTTCACAGTACCCGTGGTCTGGTACTCGCGCTCGTAGCGCTCTTGATCCGTCATTTTCTTGTCGCGCGCCTTGGCCTTCTTTTTGCTAAGAAACGTCTTGCGCTTCTCGCTGCTGCGTCGGTTCTGCTTGTTTGCATCGTAAATAACACGCTTGACCTCAGTACTGATGCGTTTATTGAACTCGCGCATGGACTCCCCCTCCCGGATCGAATCGATCTGAAGCCTCTGCTTCTTTGTCTCCGAGCTTTTGTCCACTACCGACGTGCGCATAACGTACTGGTTCATGGCCTCGTCACTCAGCATCTTGCGACATCGCTTTTTCGAGCGCTTCGACTGCGTGGGAGGTAAGTCGTACGTTGTCTTTGTCTTTCCATTCTCGCGCTTGCCCTTGAAGAACGGGTCGCACTGCTTGAGCTTCCGTTTGGCACTTACTCGCCCCATGTTGGCTCAGGTGCGAATGGAAGTGATTGGTTGGTCGCGAGGGGCTCTCAGTGTACGAACAGCGAGCGACCTGAGTATTTTTCGAGCTGGTGCTTTTAGTGTGGACTACGTGATACAGCGCCAACAGCAGCGTGGGGCACAACAGCTACCGAATAGTTTATTACAGTTGGCCGAATCGTTTACTTGCGATTCGGCCAACTGTAATGACGGTAGATAGCTCAAAGCCAACACGGGCCACCACTCTTCGTTTCAAAGGTCCTGCCTACAGAATAGAATGAAGAGCCGTGTGTATGCCATGCATGCATGTGCTTTTCATTTTGCAGCACTCAATGGCGTCAACGTCCTGAACAGGCGCCCGACGCATTCCGCAAAGCAGGCTGAGACGAAACGATGTTCGTCGGACCAAACCAAACAAGCGACTGCCACCTCCAGCCATGCTTCCGTTGACGATCGATCACTTTCCGTCTTCGCCAGAGCTGCCGCACCAAAACCTCAAGAGAGCGAAACGACTGGTCCTCTACGATCCATTGTTGGATCTATTGAGATACCGATACGTCATGGCTCGTAAGTGTTCATGCATTGTTCGTGGAGACACCTACCTGATCGTATCCTGCTGCATCCAATGTCGAAAGCTGCAGCAAGTCATTCAAGTTTTAGGCAGTATGTGCATGTTCCATCATCATCATCGCCAATCACAGCGATCGCGTCTTTGACCTCCTTCGTTTCAGTGCCATGTGTTTAGAAACGCACCGGCACCTTCGTGCAACATCCCTCCACCGATTCGTCGCAGATAGTGCCACTCGTCTTCTGATCCTCTCAAAAGCGATCCAAACTCGAGGACACGACCCGCCACAGAAACGCACCGCTGAGCCCCACAAAACGCCTCGTTTCGCTCGTCATTTCTAAACTTTCGACACACCACATCAGTGCTCCACCCCGTCCCCCCCTCTGCGATGTTCACGCACGCTTCCAAGTTCCTCCGTGCGTCGTCACTGCGTCGCACCTACTCGTCCTCCGTCACTGGCCAGCAAAAGGTAGCGGTCCTAGGAGCCGCTGGCGGCATTGGCCAGCCCTTGTCGCTGCTGCTCAAAGATTGCGACCACATCAAGCACTTGAGTCTGTTTGACGTGGTGCACACGCCTGGAGTCGCTGCGGACATTGGCCACATCAACACGCACGCCACCGTGACCGGCCACGTCGGCATGGAGCAAGTAGGGGACGCTCTGAAGGATGCCGACGTGGTGGTCATCCCGGCCGGCGTGCCCCGCAAGCCTGGCATGACGCGCGACGATCTGTTCAATACGAACGCGGGCATCGTGCAGTCTCTGGCTCAGGCTGCTGCCACACACTGTCCCAAGGCCATGATGCTGATTATTGCCAACCCAGTCAACTCGACGGTGCCGATCGTGGCCGAGACGTTCAAGAAGGCCGGCGTGTACGACCCCAAGCGCCTCTTTGGCGTCACGACGCTGGACGTCGTTCGCGCTGCGACGTTCGTGGCCGAGCACCAGAAGTGGAACCCGCGCGACACAAATGTGACGGTCATTGGCGGCCACGCCGGGACCACGATTCTGCCGCTACTGTCGCAGCTCGAGCACGCCAAGTTCTCGGACGAGGACATTGGCAAGCTTACGCATCGTATCCAGTTTGGCGGGGACGAGGTCGTACAGGCCAAGAACGGCACGGGGTCGGCTACGCTCTCGATGGCGTACGCTGGTGCACGCTTCACCACGCGCCTCCTGGATGCCATGAACGGTGCCAAAGACGTTGTCGAGTGCTCGTACACGCAGAACGACGTGACCAAGCTGCCGTTTTTCTCGGTTCCCGTGACGCTCGGTCCCAATGGTGTGGAAGAGCTGCACCACTTTGGTAACCTCTCGACCGCGGAGCAGGCCAACTTTGACGAGATGATTGTGGCTCTCGAGGCTCAGATCAAGAAGGGTGTGGAGTTTGCCAACCAGAAGTAAGGGCGACCGACAAGCTAGCACCCGTTTTGGAGACTTGTATGGCGCTGCGATGTAGTCGGCTACTTGTCTTGAGGCACTAAGAAGCTACTAGCTACCAAGCAGTTGGGCGTGGGCTGAGAGTCGTTGGAGGTAAGTCTGGGTTGCAGCAATACGTTGTAGCACGATGGAATACACATATATTCACAGTGTCGGTACACGCTTCATGTGTAATCATCATACGTCGTGTGATCCGTGAACGAACGTACTTGGTTGCTCGCATTCGGTGATGTGAATCAGTAATGGCCATACATACACGCGGCTCTGGTGATTTCTATCAGGACTAAAACTAGGTTGATGCAGCTCTCCTATTTCTCTGCGAGTAACCTCTGTAGCCGCTTTACACGCTCCCGTACCGCAAACTGTGTCATGAGGTGTCGGGGAAGTGTCTTGGTTTCCGTGAAGGACCAGCAAACTTTGTGTCGCATCACGCGAGCTTGTGTTTACGTCGCTATGGACATAGCAAAAGCCAAAAAAATCGCTCATATCTGCATTACGTTTCCTAACGATCGTTATCACGACCGGAGTAAATACTGCTTCATTTGCATCATGCCGACAGCAGAATGCTCTGTCTTCCCCGTGTGTGGACCCAATACCAAGATTGGTGCTCTAAGTAGAGTTCATAGCAAGGCGACAGCTCCAATTGATAGTTATAGCCCCGACTGAACACGCCTTAGTTCGTATCAATGCTCCCTCCTTCAGCCGCGGTGATCACAGGCTGCTTTGACGACTCGTCTTGCCCGGTGTACACCCACCCAACTGTGCGTAGAATGCCTGTCATCACGTTCGTGGCATCAACGTCCAGAGCAACCTTGGTGACCTGCGCCTGGGGCTCTTCCTGAGTATCTTCCTCGCTGATCCAAGACTGCAGCTGGATTTTCCTCTGCAGTGGTACAAACGCAACGTCTTCAGCAAACACACAACGACACATCAGTGGCAACTGCGGCACACGGCCCTGCTCTTGCAGCACAACGGCCGCGCGAGCCAGCATCCACATCATCGGCACAGAGTCTTCTTTCCTGGCATGCGTCCCTGTCAAGCCGACTACACTGACCTCCTCGTACTCCGTGAGATTCCGCTTCGAGCATACAAAGGAGTCTGCCAGAAGCTTCGAGTTGGCACGCAGTACAAGGTCCTCGTCCAGCGCAGATGCAGACACAGACAGTGGCACAAGTAGCGTGTCTTGTTTGAAAGGGATGGAGAACCATGTAATTGACTGCCAGACAGTGCCTTGATCGTCGAACAAGTCTGTCTGCACACTGAACTCGATCCTCGTCTCAAGAAACCGCTTTTCCGTCAGCACCATGATACACTGCAGAAAGCACACAAGACATATCCATAACAAACAGCATAAGCCAAGCCCGCCGCAAAAGCTGGGCGATAAAAATGTCATCAACAAACACTGTAGGCACAGACGCACCTTAAGCTCAGGCACCGTCGACTCTTCTCCGTCCTGCGAGTGGAACCGCATGTCGAGATCCCGCACCTGCACGATGTTAATGGCTTCCAGCCGAATGTTGCGCACGCTTGCTGGGAAGTGCGAGTTGCCCAGCAGCTGCAAGAAGAGGCTGCCGATGGCAACCTGGGGGAAGAGAAAGGGGACGTGCTCCAGTGCCAGCTTGGGCAACCCCAGTGACGTAGCGAGCTTGGCAAAGTCTGCAGACAGCAGCGCGAACGGACACTGCAGCGTGATGCGGGGGCACGGACTGCGCAGGATCGAAGTGCGCCAGCCGCGGCGGGTGAGCGGCGACAGCCAGCATCGCCAGCGGAACTCCTGCGTGCCGAGGTCGGCGGGGGAGGGCAGGGCCGCGTAGCTCTGCACGATGTCGTGGTCCCACGTGATGGCTACAAAGGCCACGAGCAGCAGCACCGCCACGACCACGAGCAGGACGACGCTCAGTACGAACAGCATCCGACCAACCTCTTGTTATTGCAATTATTGACAGCAAATGTTCGAGTTCTCGACGCAGTTCAATCCATTTCTATCAAACGTGTCACTCGACGGACTGTCAGAATCGATAAACTGTGCTGTCTAATATTACGCCGTGTCCTGATTGAATTGTCACGCGCCACCACCACAACGTCAAGCGGTCGATCATGCGGAGAATCCATCGTGCGAGGCTGTCCACCCGCCACATTGAAGCCACTCGAGCGCTCTATCGCTGCTCCACTGCGTCCTGCGCCTCTCGACCAACCGACTGCTCAATCGGTGGCGTTCTCGCCTACGCCGATGGTGCGTGTCGCGGCAATCCGGGCCGCAGCGGCTGCGGTGCTTTGCTGCTGGACCCTTTGACAGGCCGCGTCCTGGCCTCTGACACCAAGTACATTGGCGACCAGGAGACGAACAACGAGGCCGAGTATCACGGGCTGATGCTGGTGCTGCGACTGGCGCAGAAGCACCAGGCCACACACGTGCAAGTGTTCATGGACTCGCAGCTCGTCGTGCGCCAGATGCAGGGGCTTTATCGGGTCAAGGCCGCGAACTTGCGACTCCTGCACCAGCAGTGCAAGAAACTTAGTGCAGCTCTCCCTCAAGTGGCGTTCACTCAGATAGCTAGGGAGGAGAACGTCGCTGCTGACCGCCTGGCAAACGAAGCCATTGATGATTACTTTGCTGTCGTCAAGTGACGGCTCCACACGACAGGCTTCTCTAGCGATCTCAGCTGCAAGTGATCTTATTGCTTGCGCGGATGTGCCGGAAATGCGACCGAACTCGATTTGAAGTAGTTGATACATCGGTGTGCAGCCGGAGCCATAAGACAGACTATAGAGGACCGCCTTTGTGACGAGTTTTGTGAAGATGGTCGAGCAATGCACTCGGCTTCGCTTGTCATCCGAGTGGATATATGTGAACACTCATTTGGACGTATTGACTGCTCGTTGAAGTAATCGGACACTCCCAGCTTCCTGGCCAGCATGCGAGAACGTACCCAGGAGATTTCGTAGCACTTTTGTGCTCGTGGCTGCTTTCAAAGCCGACGTCAAGCAACAAGTAGCGGGAGCGTGTACATCCTTTTACAACTACGGACCATCTGGGCCTGATACTGCTTCGGAAGGCATCTTTATCAATGGCCAGAACCTACGGCGTTGAGTTTCGCCAATGCAAAGCATTCACGTGTAGACGAAGTCACATCGAAATCTTAGCTGTGGAATTTGATGAAGGTGACGAAAAGCTCTGACTGGCACTCGATGACTTCCATCATGTCAAGACGATGGCCACGCTCGTGCAACTCAACACTGCTCCATGGCAGACTTCCAGGCCTTTACCACATGTTCGATGATATCTTCGACGCCCTTGCCCTGGTTAATCTGCGAGAAAACCGTTGGACCCTCGCCACGCATTCGCCTCGCGTCATGATCCATAACATCCAGATCGGCACCGACGTGTGGGGCCAGATCGGTCTTGTTGATGACCAGCAGATCTGCTTGTGTGATGCCTGGACCACCCTTACGAGGCACTTTGTCACCACCAGCCACGTCGATGACGTAGATGATATAGTCGGCCAGCTCACGACTGAAGTTGGCAGCCAGGTTGTCTACACACAGCACGGCATCAGAAAAAATCCATTCTTGCAAGCTATCAAGAGCTTACTCCCTTCGATGCACGCACCTCCACCCGACTCCACCAGCAGCAGCTGAACATTAAACTCATCAGTCAAATCCTCGCACGCCTGCAAATTGGCCGAAATGTCCTCTCGGATGGCTGCATGGGGGCAGCCACCTGTTTCAATAGCCCGTATACGCTCCTCTGGTAGCGCGTTATGGTGCACAAGAAACTCGCCGTCCTCTCGCGTGAAGATATCGTTCGTCACAGCGGCAAGACTAAACTTGTCCTTGAGCGCTCGACACAGCGCCAGCATCAGTGCCGTCTTGCCACTCCCTACGGGTCCGCCAATGCCCACGGTAAAACCTCGCTGCGTCCAATCCCGACCAGACTTGGCTCCATCGCGCTTAGAGTACACACCGGCGTGTTCCATGTGCTCGTGCGTGTGGCCGTGCTCCCGTAACTGTTGTTCTTCGCTAGGTGTCGGTGTGCGGCCACGGCTTTGTATGAAGCGGCGAACGACCTCGTCTCCGTCGATAGTATGCTCGTGGTCATGGCTGTGGCCGTGATCATGGCTGTGGTCGTGATCATGACTGCGGCCAAAGTGCGAGTGCTCCATTGATCTTGGTAGTTCCTTGCGGTAGATTCCAAAGTGAGAGAGGGTCAAGAGATGGTAAAACCATGCACGGCTGACCAGTAGATCGAAAGAGACCCTGCAATCTCGACAAGTCTCGAATCAAATGCGGTCTCTATTGAAGCGGTGGTTTGTCTACACGTGGCTGCACTTTTGCAGCACGTAGAAAAAGTATCCGAGTCCCATATCTGCCATCAAATAAGCAAAGCCGTTAACCAGCACTCGGTTGCCTGCCCATAAAAAAAAAGAGAAGAACAGCAGCAGCAGCAAGACATACCGATGTTGTGGTAAGAGTAGCTCCAGTCGTAGACCGTGCTAGTAGGCGCCTGCTCGCCCTCGCCCAGCAAGAAGCGTCTGCGGAAATGCGGCTGCGCAAAAGAAATCTGCAAGAAGGTTCCCCTCGATGCCAGTACAGACGTGATACCGCTGCACATGGCAGCCGCCTGCTCGATCACCGCTTCCGAGGGCGACCAGACATCGCCTTCGTCGCACATGAGCGCGTCCATAGCAGCTTTGTCGATGACAACGTCGAAGCTCGCAGGTCCAAACACGCTGCTTAACGTGGTCATGTCCGCCTCGATCCACTGCATCTCGGGCATTTTCTCCTGTAGCCGTTACCATTGTAGCAGCACATTAATCATCAGAATGTAATTAAATACACGAAGAAGCGAGCGACTCACGCTGTACTTGGCGCTCATGCGCTTGATGACGGTCTTGGAATAGTCGATGTTGGTGATGTGCTGAAACCCGCTGTTGTACTGAATAGACAAGATGCAGGAAGAAGGGCCAGGCCCGACACACAGAGGTGAGAGCTCGTAGAGAGAAAGAGAGGGACGCTGGAATCGCACCATGTCGACGCTGAACGTCGAGTTGCCGCATCCGACCTGCGTAGAGTCCGTCAGACGCATCGTCAATGCAAGCCCCTCGTTTCTATCGACTGGAAGGCCACGTACCATGAGAATGCGATCTGATGGACACACGTACTTGGCCAGTAGCTCTGCGACGTTCTCGAAGCGAACCAACCAGTCGTACGACTCTTCACTGGTCACAATAGGTGCATGTTACCGCTGATTGGTTCGGTAGCTGTAGAACAGAATAACACCATCAGGTTGATACGTACCGATGGAAGCGCGAGTCCCAGTAGCCCTTCTCCTTGTACGTGCAGTTGGTCTTGGGCAGATACTCGGTCATATTGAATGGTGAGCACGCTTCTTGCAATATTGCAATAGGATTGTTGCGATCTGATTGCAAGCGCCGGGGTAGGGGTGCACTTCATGAAGTTGCAGCAGTGGTGTTGATGACATTTTACAGACCCGCGACGGTATCCGCACCGATGATTCTAGGATCATGTGCTGCATCGGCCGAAGTAACACATTGAATACTGTAATCCCTAGGCATCCGCATCTCCGGCACTGGAGCAAGGAGGTTGTATAATGAAAGTGATAAGATGTGGCAATACCGCACGTGACGATGGGGGTAGCCGGTAACGAGTCCGATGGGTTGAGTGCAGGATTCAAGTGGATTATGCCTTGGCAGCTTTGACTGCAACTGTCCTTACCGTCGGCGCGATTCATGAGTCAAATAGTTGAGACCGGATCGTCAGGACTATGGAGTAAGCAGTGTTATTGTGGAACAAGCCATTGCTGCCGTCAAGTGCAAAGGGTGTGAGAACTACAATTGACGCCTGTGTAAATCGCTCAAAAGTAATGTTGGTAGACAACGCGATGCAAGTCAAAGAAGTCGTCGACAGAAAGTGAGGCAAGCTGCATGACAATTTCGTCGTTGATTCGGTTTCGAGCGTCGTTATGTTCAGTTGACATGACAGCGAATCTGCTGACGCAACAAGCAAAGACGTTTCATGGGACAAGCTTTTCCCTGAGTTCGTACCTTTGCTGTCCTGAATGAAGCTGACAACAGTTTGTGCCACGTCAATACTGAATGACACCAGTGCAAACTGCACCTACCTGCAATGCAAAACAGTACGCAGAAATGGTTGAAAATTAAGTTGTATTCGTTTGCTCTTCCAGTATTCTACAGCATGCACAACAGGTCGTTGACACGACTGCGCACCATGGCGAAGTCTTATAGCTCGTCAGCATGTAAGTGACCGATCAACTGCTCCGTGAACTGCTTGGAAGGTTCCAGCCATGTTCTCGCTCGAAACGGCCACTGCCTGCAACTGTGCGTGGTCCAGAATAACGCCCCCTTACACTGTGCGGCTGGCACGAATCGAACGCTGCGTATTCGTCACGATCGAGTGCTTTAAGGTCGGGTGGCCCGCATTGATGCGCTCCGTGAACGCCTTGCTCGCGTACGCATTCTTCGTCAATATGTAATTCACCATAAACTTGATCAGATCCAGCGGGAACTGCCACAAGATAGACCACAGCCACGCAATCAAAGTGTAGCTGCCGCCACAGCCGATCACAGCAATACGGTCCGTCGGGTAGCCACCGAAACCGATCCAGCCGACGACCGAAGCGACGATCTGAGCGAACACGAACGCGATCAGCAGCATGTTGCACGGCTTCTCGGCGAAAAACCAGTTGTTGCTACCAGCCGTACGCGTCACAAAGATCAGGGCCTGGCCGGAGATGGACACCTGCAGATACACCAGCGAGCGCAGCACGCCTTCCTTGCGCTGGATACCAGGGCCGATCATCTCGTTGTTGCGTGTCCACGTCGAGTTCCAGTTGCTGAAGCCCCACACGTAGTCGCAGAAGCTGACCTCATTCGTGATTGGCACCTCGCCGTTACCAATGAAGGTCACGCCCTGGCCCAACTGAGTGGCAGTGAACACGTTGTAGTCACGCTCGTATGCCTCGCCACCAAAGCCAAGAGTGTAGGCGTACACATACTGGTTGTACGCAACCTCCGCCGATGGCTTCACGTCGTTAGGCAGCGAGTTGAGGTGGACATCCGACAAGTCCTCGAACAGCTTGGAGCGAGGCTCATACCTCTGTTGGTACTCCGTCCAGTAAGCGCTCACAACACCCTTGCGGAACAAGCCCACGTCATGCAAGCTAGCGGCTTGCGGCACACTGCCCGTCATCTCACCACAGCCGGTCGCGTTGTTGTCCATCACACATCGCTGGTACTGGTCCTGGAAGAAGTCGTGGCACTCATCCTTCATGCAGCTCACGCACAAGTTCTCTACACCAGCACTCTCGAAACCACTCGTGTGGCTAACAACAGCAAACAGCATGATCGTCGACAGCGTCAGCCACAGACCGAACGAGATCGATTGAATAAACACCTCCTTTAGCTTCCACGAGTCTGGGTACGGTGACGCAACCACATTGTCCTTTGAGATCGTCAGGATCGTGCCGTCGTTTAGAATGGCCAGAATCACCACAAGAATCGGAGGGAAGTACCAGTTCCACGCCACCGTCAAGATGCCGAACGTGAACACAATGCGCACAGTCATGGCAATCGAGTACATGGCGTAGTTCTTCATGCGCAAGAAGATCTCACGACTCATGCGGATAGCCGTGATGATGACGCTCAAACCAGGAGAAACGAGCACAATGTCTGCGGCAGCGCGTGCAGCGTCAGTAGCGTCGTCCACAGCAATACCGATGTCGGCCTGGGCCAGGGCTGGGGCGTCGTTCACACCGTCACCCGTCATACCCACTACCTTGTCCAGCGATTGCAGATGCTTCACGATCTCAAACTTGTGCTCGGGGAACACCTGAGCAAAGCCGTCCGTGTCGTAGATCATCTGCGCCAGGTTCAGTCCAGGCGGTGGGGCAGTGTTGAAGAAAGAAGTGTCCAAAATGTTCGTCGGCATTCCCAGTTGACGACACGTCTCCACGGCAATAGCCTTCTGGTCACCCGTGACCATCTTCACTGCAATGCCCAGAGCAATAGCCTTCTTCACCGTGTCGGCCGTGTCGTGACGAGGCGGGTCAAACAGCGGCAACAGACCAATCATCTGCCACTCACATTCCTCCATCGGGACGTCTCCGCTGCGAGAGATACCCACGCCGAGACCACGGTAGCCGCGCGAAGCAAACTCGTCAATGCGTTCTTCGACCTCCGCACGAAGCGAATCCGCGTTCACGTCCATGTCCAGCACCACCTGAGGGGCACCCTTCACGGCACGGAAGATCTCACCAGTCTTGTTGTCCTTGAGTTTGGCGATCGTGCGCTTCGTCGTCGGGTCGAAGGGCGTGTAGTGCAACAGCGTGTACTCTTTCCACATCGTCGCGTGGCCTGGGTACGTGTTGTGGCACACGACATCAATCGCCTCATTGTTCTCGGTACGCGCCGACAGAGCGCCGTACTTCAGAATGTCCTTGGTCGAGAAGTTGTTGTACGGGATCAGGTTGTCCATGTCCACTGACAGCTGGTTCAACGTCAGCGTGCCCGTCTTGTCGGAGCACAGCACCTCCATCGAAGCCATCTCCTCAATACACGTGAGACGAGTCACGATGGCGTTCTCTTTGGCCAGAGCCGATGACCCAATAGCAAGCGTCACCGACAGCACCGTCGGCATGGCAACAGGGATACCGCCAACAATCAGCACGAGGATGTTGGCAACACCCAGACAGCCGTCCGTCACGATCACACACGGGTTCTGCGACGATCGACCGGCCATTTGCACCAGCAGCTCCACCACACACCAAAAGAGGATCGACACCATGCAGAAGTTGCCAACAGTTGTCAGCACCATCTGGAGTCGACCGTGGGAGTCGGCAGACGCGATCTTCTCGGCAGCGCGACCTAAGAACGTGTTAATGCCCGTGCTTGTCACCACGGCTTCGATCTCGCCCTGCTTCACGACCGAGCCAGAGTAGCCTTCGTCGCCCTCGTTCTTGGTCACTGGCAGCGACTCACCCGTAAGCGATGACTGGTCCACCTTGACGGCATCGCCCTCCAGGAACTTGAGGTCAGCAGGGATCACGTCACCAAGACGCACACGGATCACGTCGCCAGGGACGAGCAAATCCGCTGGAATGTTCTTGATTTCCCCATCACGAAAGACTTTCGCCTCCGGCGCCAATTGGCCCATGAGCGCGGACACCGCGTCGCCTGCCTGCACTTCTTCCAAGTAGCCGATCACGGCGTTCAGCAAGAGCAGGAACAGAATGAGCGCAAAGTCGGCGTAGTCCAGCAACACGATCGAGAGCACGGCCGCCACTTCCATGGCCCACGACAGCGGGTTCCACATGAACCCCATGAAGAGCGTCAACTTGTTGATCTTCTCTTCCGGCAGCTTGTTCGGACCGTACTCGGCCAGCCGCTTCTCGGCTTCGTGAGACGTCAGCCCTTCACGAGACGACTTGAGTTTGTCCAGTGCAGCGTTCAGAGGCACTTGCGCCCATTGGATCTGGCCCACGTCGTTCGTGTAGTTCTTTGTGTCGTTGGGCGTCGCTAAAGACAAGTAGGAATTGCGTCCTCCAGCAGGGGGCATTGGGACTGCGGAGTCGGAAGCTTCGGATTAATGGCCAAAGCTCAGGAACAAATAGGAGCCTTTTCAACCAACCAGGTAGGTATCGACAGCAGAGACGAAGAAGTCGGTGCTAGACGGAAAATGGGAGAATGAAAACCGATGGACGAGTACCACCACGATGGCCAAGTAGCAGGCAGACGAGCAGGTCCGCGACTGCTGTCTTAACAGCTCGCCCAGTCAGCGCGATAGCCAATCATCGCGCAGCTGGACCGAATCTGGCTCGTTGAGGTTTATCGATCGAAACCGACTCGTTACGTAACGCTGACTCGTCCACGCATACAAAGCGCAGGTGATATTCAAGCAAGACGGCAAAGTACGGCAAGGTTTTATTCAAGCACAGGGGGATGCACGTTATATGCGACGCCGTCTGCATCTTTTATTTCATTCTCAGGTCGAAGGGATACGGCCCGATCAGCGTTGAGGGATCCATCAGCCGATGCAACCATGAACTTGAGCTCAGGCTGGCTCGTGCGAAATTTCTGGCCCAGCTAGATTCCTGCGACGCGATTACGGGAAACAAATTGCTACAGACAGACGACGCCAGCTATGGATGCCGCTGGCCTGAGACCATGGCACAAACGATGAAAACGCGTTACGACATCCATGTTGCCGCAAGTGTTCGTTCGTGTAGGCCGATCGACATTCGTTTGTGAATAGATGCAAGTGCAGAACACGGACAGGTTTTCCGTCGTCGGCGCGCTGCATCGTAATGGCTTGCAGCAGGGCACCACACTGC